AAGTTCTCACTCACATATTTCTTAATTTCTTTTTTGGAAACATAAACTGTACTGGTAAATTCTAATTAACACTTTACTTAAAAGAGAAGGTACGATATGGTCACTTTTTATCCCTTATATTAATATTTTGAATAAGGTCTCACATAATTGTACGAAGGCTTTAATTACATCCCAACTATTGCTGTTGAACTGACATGATAGGCTTATAATACTTCATATATTTACTTGTGGCAATACACATCTGTACATGTATTTTTATGATTTCATTCACATAGTTGAACCTGTTGAACCAAGAAATTAGGTAATCAACGAAATATCAATTTCTTATAGGGTTGCGTGAAAAATGTAACAATACCACTTCAGTAAGATCCACGAAAACGCAGTTAATCCTCAATATATTGATGTCATTGATAAAGGTGAACTAAGAATTTGAGTGTTCAACGGAATACCAATTTCTTATAGACTTATGTGTTAGTTGTTAGAAAAAACCTAGTTATTCCTCAATCCACAAAAAACACGAAATTAAAAGAATATTTAGTATTTAATCTTTAATCGGGTCGACTGCTATATTGTTTTGCTATGTCATAAATGTAAACAGAGAAAAAAATACCAGAAAAAAATAATGTGAACATTTAATTTATTGGAGTGTTTAAAGAATTGTAAAATAGTTCATAACATTCGTTCTTCTCTACGCTATCATTTCAAAATAATTAAGATTTCATATTATCCATGTAATATTTATATTTCGTTTATAGATTAAAGACGAATCAAAAAGTCAGCAAATTGGACTTTGTCTATAAGTTTGCACATTAATTTTGTTTTTTGAATGCACTATGCAGCATTTAAATCACCAAGTTCAACCGACCAATGTCTTCGGGCAGGAATATGGCAGTTGATTCCTATTCGTTCCGTTGGTTGATAAAGTCTAACGTTTGATTTTGTCAGGTTTGATGGTCTTTCCCCTTTTTGAATTTAATTTAGAGTTTGATATTTATGTTATATATTTTTTAACATTCAACTAAAGTCAATTGTCCTACAAGTGGGAGGTTGAGGTAGCTGTCAAACCAGGTATAACCTATTATGTACTTCAAAAAGTACAAAGTCAGAAATATAGACAGTTTTTATAAATTCTATGTATACAGTATGTATTTCAGTTATTTTGAAGTCCTTTTGTTTGAATAAATACAACTGCACCCCTCCCCCCAAAAAAAAACACAACAACAACAAAAAAATGGTTGCTAAATTTGTATGCAGAATCGCTTTAAACTAACAACCCCAGCTTGGCTTGAAACATTATTATTTATAAGGTTAAATGGCAAGTGTTGAAAGAAACAAGGCGTCGAGGACGAGGTGTCTCATGTGTAAAATGTGTTAAACATTATAATGTTTAAATTTTGGCGGAAATGGTTATCCTACGCCTTTTTTGATTCTCTCAAATTTTGTCTGTGACCTTAATATGTCTTTTCGTAATCGATTTACGAGATTTGAACACCAATAAACTTCTGTCGCCTAAAGTTTAAACGTACGTTTCAACGGAGTTTATACACAAGTATCAATTTGAGATTAGCGCAAATGATCGCAATGATATCTGTTCGACACTGCACATGTTGAAAAAGGTTGTAAAAAATTGAAAAATTGCTTGTTTATGTTACAGCAACTTTTCTTTTAATTTCTTTAATAAATTTTAAACACGTTTTGTCGATCAATCTGAAGGTTGCTCACTTACGATTACAAAACGATATTATTCTCGGCATGTTTGTTTTAAATATACATTCATATTTTTAATGTGGTAAAATCATTATCAGTAATGTAACAGTTTTTGTAAATCATTTTTGAAAAACAAACATAAAAAAGTTGTATAATGAATAGTGCGAGATCGTTCTATCTATTATGTTTGGCTCTGCAAAATAATTCTAATGGCAACATTCAATGATATAAACATCAAACAGTCACATTGTCTGACGACGTTGATTACAAAACGAAACATTCTAATTTAGATTATTGTTGTGAAATCGAATGTAAAATTGATCCTTATTTTTAGCAAGCCTTTTATTTAGTATATCGCGAACAATGATCGTGATAGAAGAAGTTTCCGATCGGATAATGAATACAATTCAACATCATAATATGTGAAAAAAATTCTTAGAATAAGCAAAAGTTTGGATACGTTACAAAAAAGTGTCATTCATGCGATGAAACTGCGCATTTAGTTAAATAAAAAAAAAGTAAATACGATTCATATCCTTACGCAAAGTATTATAAAAAAACATATAGAATTTAGTATGTTCACATTCCAATATATCATGCTATATTTGAAACTAAATCTTCAGTGTATCTGAAAGTACATTTAACCTCAGAAATAGATTACCTTAACTGTATTTGGCAAAACTTTTAGGAATTTTTGGTTCTCAATGCTCTTCAACTTCGTACTTTATTTTGCCTTTTTAACTTTGTTTGATTCGAGCGTCACTGATGAGTCTTTTGTAGACGAAACGCGCGTCTAACGCAGATACAAAATATCAATCCTGGTATCTATGATGAATTTATTTAAGTTTAAATGGACAAAAGTTCATTTTATTAAAAGAAAAGACTTATTTGGGATGTGATAGTCAATGAATGACCACACTAAAGGTTCCGTTTACATATTGTTATGCTATATACTTATAGTTTGTTAACGCGTTTGTTTAGTAGAATAAATCGTGAATAAACCAAAATCAAAAATGAACATCAATAGGTCGTGTTAGTCCAGTTTTCAATCCAATAAACTAAAATGATAAATTATCATATAATTACAGAATGATACGAACGCTGCAAAATAGACATATTTCATGATCTTTTTAACGATGATCTTAAAAACTATTTTTTTGTGTTCATGATCAGAAATTAAATCTATATATGAATATTCTGATTTTTTAAACATTTTGCATAAATCTCTGCAAAACAATTTTAAGAGCCATTTGAAAAAATAATTTCGAACGTCATTGTTCACTGAAAAGTAATTTGGTCATTTATATTAAAAACAAATAAATATGTTTGTGAACATTTTGTATGATATTTAAATGCTTATGGGCAGATCGCCTTTTGTGGTTTCGTGAAATGGTGGATGATTTAACTTTGATGTATTCAGAAAGGGATCATAATGCTGGACGCTTTTGAAATGAAATATCATTTTTAGATTAGTTTTCTGTATCTTTCCTGTTTATAAATTTTGAATTGTTCGAATTACTTAAATATGTTTTTGGAATTGTCAATTTGAATGCTCGTGAACTTCTTATTTAATTTGGTCTTCAAACAGTTTTGATTCGATTGCTACTAATAAGTCAAATATAGACGACAGTTACCGCTAGTGAACACAACTATATGTCTGGTATCTTTGATGAATTTTTACAGAATTTTTTTTCCCAATCACAATACTTTATTTATCACCGTTACTGTAAATCTTTTACTATCGATTGTCTCGATATTCCGAATGAAAGGCGTGTTAAGGTAAAAAAGTATTAACAAAAATACCAAACTTCAAGGTAAATTCAAAAAGGGGAAGTCCATAAAAACTAACAAGATCAAAAGCTAAACTTTATCAACTAACTGAACGAATGGTAAACAACTGTCATATGTCATAAAGATCAACATGTTAATTTCATTAATCATAAGTCAATGAAGCGAAATGTTCACAGCACATGATTGTTGACAACACTAATCTTTAGTTTTACTATACTTATGTTAGTTAAAATGTATATTACAACGTTTTTTATGATTAAAACTTTTTAATATTTGTTTTCATATAACTTGAATTCGATGTATATATATAGATATATACAAATCTAAATTGAAAACAAAGTTCAAACCTATGATTGCGTTGGATAAAAACCGCAATTTTTATACGTGTGCGTGCAAAACAAATTTTCTGGTAGAGGGGTCTAAATACAGCACAAACATCATTTTCAATAAGACCAAATGAGTGAAAAAGTATATTTTAACAAAACGCATTTGACTAGCAGGTCGAACAAATGATGTTCTTACACCCTGCTGACTGCCATTGGCGATTGCCAAATAAACGGATCACAAGATGTAACAAAATAGATCTTATTATTAATTTATTACCAAACAGAAAACAATAAACTTGCGGAAAAGATGGTATACCTCAAACATGAGGTGCACAAATTTGTACACCATATCCGGATTTCGACAATTAATGTCTCTCCAGTGATGTAAGGAATCGAAACGGTATTTGGAAGGCCATATAATTTACCTCAATTTAGAATAGACTCTTGAATTTTGAAAGAGTTAGCATAGGATGAACGGATTATATAAACCCAAAAGCAAATATAATACTATCCCAAACGAAAAATATAAAAAGTCTAAACTGAAAACAACGTTCAAACCTATGATTGCGTTGGATAAAAACCGCAATTTTTATACGTGTGCATGCAAAACAAATTTCCTGGTAGAGGTGTCTTAATACAGCACAAACAACATTTTCTAAAAGACCAAATGAGTGAAAAAGTATATTTTAACAAAACGCATTTGACTAGCAGGTCGAACAACTGATGTTCTTAAACCCTGCTGACTGCCATTGGCGATATATATATATATATATATATATAAACGGAAAATGCAAACCTATGTACAAGTATTCATGGTTGAAATCATAACTTTAAATGTTTTCTTATACAGCACTTGCAATTATATTCCACCATCACCTGCCTTAACGGTATGTTATTCCCAATTATTACGAAGGTTCGGGCCTAACTTTCTGATATGAATTCCTAGATCGAGGATTGCTGCCTACTATGGAGCTATTACACCAAGAATTATTATTGGTTAATTTGCAGAGATTGATCTCTGCAAACTCTATCATCATTTTATTGTCAAAGATTTGAAAATAACACTTTATGATGTTGGTGCGTCCGATATTTGTATTACAGACGAGTACATATGTTTTGTTGACGTGACTACGACAAGTTGTATGTTATTGTAGTCATCTTTGTTATGTATTGTAGCTGAGAGACTCTCAAATTTCAACATTGACGTCATAAGGCCATGCAAAAACTCAACTCATTGGTTTGAAGGAGTAACATCACTATGTCATCACAGACAGGAGGCTACTATCTATCTAAATGCAACCTGTTCTCATGAGACAATCGGAAGGTATGTTCGCATACAGCTGAAAGACCCGAATGCTTTAGCCTTATGTGAAGTTGAGGTACATGGAGTATTTATGCAGGATTTAAATTCAGGTTAGTTTTTTTTATGTTTCAAAAAGTGTTCCACAAAATTGACTGTGTATATAACGTGGTCGATAAAAAAAAACATGAGATCACATTCTCATTCAATCTACTCGCTGGTTACATTATATTAAAATAGGGAGATGTGGTAAGATTACCAATAAGACAATTATTCACCAAAGTTCCAGTAAAGAAGTCTGCGAAATGTGTTATATAAAAGATCGATAAGACTTATCAACGGTTTTGTGCCAATATGATCAGCACGACGGGTGCCATATGTGGAGCAGAATCTGATTACCCTTCTGGAGAATCTGATTTCACCCAGAGTTTTGGTGGGATTATTATTTCTCAGTCTTCAGTTTTCTATGTTGTGTTTGTAGACTGTTGTTTTGTTTTGCCATGACATTGTCAGTCCGTTTTCGACTATTCCTTTGGTATCTTTCGCCTCTCCTTCAATAAGTTTGTATTTACATTTACACTTGTAAAGTGATTGAGTTTGAACGATAATTCATGCATGTGGCTTATTGCATGGGCTTATGTTTTGATTTACAATAACGAGTCTAATGTTGCCTACCTTAAAAAGGAGGATGCGTATTTTGTAAGAGCACGTTTTCGATTTCTTAAACTGTCTTCTCCGATATTGAATTTATATATTATGTCTTAATCTTAATTGTTATTAGCATTTGCTGAAATGTAATTAATTACTCCAGTTATAGTCTGAGCTTGATCAATGTTTTCTCCTGTTAGTTGTATTTATCTGCATATTAAATGATTTCATAGTGATCGTTGATTTGATATCCCCAGGGCATTAATACAATAATTAGGTGGAACCTTTAGATTTTAATACATTAGGAGTTATGCAATAACAAGCAGTTGATTCTAATTAACAAAATGTCGAAATGGCTAGCGAAATCAAAACGGAAACATTTGAACCATGACACAATTATTTAATGATTGCATTAATTTCAAGAAAAATAATAAATTTGATATTATTACATATTTTCAGTGACCTTGCCTTATACATGTGGATTTGAAGGTCACAGTTATGATGTACAAGACGGCAACATTGAAACAGCACACGTAAATAGCAATATTCAATGTACATACATGTGTGCTTATATGAACGGATGTCATGCTGCAGACTTCGTGAAAAAGAACAAAACCTGTTTCTTAATGGAGAGAAAAAATGGGTCCAATGTCGTGTCTGATCCTGGCCACAATGTCTTTCTTGTCAATTGACTATATATATTTCATAAATAAATTTTAATGTTGTGCGATGTGTTATGTTTTGTTTTAATTGAAACAGATATCAAATGTTATGGAGGTAATACAATAGCACATACATTTAATAAGATAAAAAAATTCAATGCTTCCAATTCATATATAAGGAGTTGACAAATGTCAACCTTTTACAAAACTTTTCTTATTTCTAATTATCTACCTTTGTATAATATGAATGCAGTTTTTTGGGATGTTGCCTATACCAAAAAAAGACAGGGTCGTGTAAAAGAAATGCAAAAGATACTATGAGACATTCAAACTCATGTCGAAATAAACTGACAACGCCATGGCAATTAAAAAAACTGAAATAAGACCAAAAAGACATTAATATACAAAACACAACATAGAAAAATAAGGACTCCACCAAAAAACCGCGGGTGGTAGCAGGTGTTCAGGATCTCGGAGGCATCTGTCGTGTTTCTCATGTACATCCAAACACGATGATAAGGCTAATTCAGTAGGTCACACTCGTGATGGCGTCCGTAAAATTTTCGAAGGGATGATGATTGTATCTAAACCACTTTGAACTCTTGTTTTAATATCTTCCTTAAAGTTATAAATCATGTCAGTATTATTATTATGATTAGGAATTTAATGTAAATTGCATTGATATTTAGCAATAAATGCAAACGGTGTGGCAGTTTGCATGGTCAATGGAAGTAGTTGTTGCCTAAAAATCGTGTTTAATTACTTATTTTCCTGTCGATTGAATTTTACACAATTTGCATTAAATCAAAATATTTACTGCTATTACGAACTAATACAATATGAAAACAATCGGAAAAATTAAGGGATGATAAAAAGGTGTTATCACAACAGTATGTCGACAAGAGACAGACATAAAGATCGGAAAAATGAACATACAAAAGTACATGTACACAAACAATAATAAAAGAAAAATATTGGGCAATGTAAACCCTTCGGTAGATATGGCGACACTATATAGACGTTAATTAATGTCTCCAGTATAAATGTAAGACATTGCCATTTGTTTATAAATGTACGTCAATTCCCAAACATGACCGAAGATATAAGTTTATATAGATGTGAACTACTGTTTCGATCAATTGGTCATGCAGACAAATTGGCATCAGTCGTGTTCTTTAGGCAAATAAAGGTTGCGGTAATAAGTCGCAATAAACCAAATTGAAGAGACAACACAAAAACAAATAGAGGTGAACAGCATGCGCTCATAAGAAATACTAATATCAAGTATTAGTAATAATAAAAAAATACAAAGTCTACCCAAAGAAAGTATGCAAAAAATCAAAATCAGAAAAGCGATGAAAATAAAACAGTTCATATAACCTCACTGGAATCAACAAAATCAGACCATTGATCTTCTTTAACGATACATAGAACTGCTGGAAAACAAAGGACAACCTAAATGTGGAAGAAACACAGCAATAGCAATAAACACTAATCCATGTAGATGTAAAAGCTCAAAAGAGAAACTTAGTCACAGTTAAGACCAGACACAGACTATAAATCCAGTAGAATAGTTTTTTTTAGACAACATAAATGATCTACCACCTTTTCTAAGACAAAGAAATGATCAAAAACATCTAAACCACCTATACAGACAAGAAAACGGCCTGAACAGCTACCATCATGATCATAATGGAAGTCACTAAGCTGGAAATATCAATCAATATCATCAGATTCCAAAAACAGAATATATCCAACAGAACATGTCAATAAGGCAACAAAAATGGTCCACCATCTTTTCCAGGATATGCAACTGAGCAAGTACATCAAACTCAACAGATAGGATGAAAAAAATACTTTTCAGAAAGGGACTATAACTCTACTAGAATAGGTCTTTTAAAGAACATAAACAGTAGACCCGCTTTCCCTCGACAAAGAAGGGATCGAATACATCAAAACCATATGACCAGAAAAGAAAACCACCTGAACACTTACCACCGAGATCATAATAAAAGTCATCAAGCCAGAAATATTGATTAATTCAATCATATGAAAAGTACAAAACATATGAACCAAGTAAATAATTTCAAAACCAACATCAACTAAAACAAGACAGACAACCACCAAACTACTTACATCAGATGAAATATTACCCAACAGATACCTGTATACCAGTAAACTATCAACAACCTGTAGTAAAACCAGCTAATCAATTGCCAACACAAAGTATGGAACATCAAAATATACACAGAACAGAAGCTACATGCGACATCAGAAATATAACTAAACAGACAATTTCTACTACCACCACCATACAGTCAGAGCAATCCCAAACCAACCCTCTCCAATATAACTTCAGCTTCAGAAAGAAAGCAAGCCATACCAAAACAAAACGGAAAGAAAACCTTCCAGAACAGAAGACAATGTGAAAAACTGTACGCATCTATCATTTAATATTTTAGAGATGAGACGTACTTCAAAATACCTCCAGATATAAATCAAGAGGAAATCGAAATAGAAAGAACCAACAGACAATGCTAGAGATTGTCTCCTTTAACACTGAAGGGATCAAAGGTAACACCCCATATCTCAAAGAACTACAGTCCGACTCAAATATTCTGTGTCTACAAGAACATTGGTTACTTGGAGATGAAACTGATATACTGCACACAGTTGTCCCCGATAACGAATTCCATATCTCATGTTTTGATAATAATAAAATTGATATAGAAAATCACAATAGAAGAGGAAAAGGCGGTGTAACAACTCTATGGCCCAAAATTTGTTCGCACAAAATAAAAAAAAAACTTGCAAAAGAGGAAAGGATAGTGGTAATTGAAATATGTATAGAGCTTCATAAAGTTATCCTAATCAACAATTATGTGCCAACAATGATGACAGGATCTGAACCTAAATATAGAGAACATCTGGACCAAATCTCATTAATAATAGACAAATATGATAACTAGATTTATTATAACTTGCGTCCTAAATGCGTTAATATCAACCAGAAATAACAACCACGATAAACTTCTGAAAAAGTTCTGTAGAAAACATCATCTGACCCATACATTAGAAAACAGTCAAGGCTCTACCGTTTACCACCATAATGGTAAATCAAGCTCACAAATAGACTATATACTAGCAAATAACGATACAGATGTATTGAGGAGCACATCAATAGAAGATCAATACCATCTAAATGAATCAGGCAATGTCTCAATAAGAGAAAAAATTAATATATCGATAGCATCCGATAAGGAAAAAAGTCAAAACCAAAAACCCATACTCAAATGGGATAATTCCTGACCCATATCAGAAATCTACAGAAACACTACAGGAGCAGCGAAACAACCGTAATTTAAAAACAAATAATAAAAGAACAGGGATTCAACATCATTGATTTTTTTATCTCAAGCCACCAATACAAGTGTCAAGAAAAAAATAGTTCCTCTAAAAGGACCAAATTGGAAAGCCTCGGAGAAGGTTTAACGCTAAAATAAAAAAATAAGAATGCCTGTTTATCTGGAAGCAAAATGGGAGACCAAGATCAGGACAACAGAGTATATTCTGAAATGAAGAACTGCAAAAGAAAAGTAAGAATACAAGTCCGCAAAGAAGATCATCTGAATAGCAAATGGTTTTACAATAACATGATGAATAGCCCTGACTCAAACACTTTCCATCGGCTTATTATGAAAAACAGAGCACACACAGATAATTCAACAACATTGATAATAAAGAATACAAATGGAGAGGATATTGTAGAACAAGAAAAGCAAACTGACATATTTGCAGACTTCTACGAAACATTAGCAACCCCAGTAACAGAGGAACATTTTGATACAGATTATATGGAGGAATGCGAATTTAGATTCAATTTAATCAACACAATTGTACAGCAATCCACCATCAATGAAAATGACATCATACAATTTACGGAAGAGGAAATCAAAAAGCCATCTGTAAACTGCATACAGGAAAACCAGAGGATGGTTACTCCTTAACAGCTGAGCACTTTAGATATACCGGAGACGCAATTTATCAGATATTGCTAATCTCTTAATAATATCATGTTGACAGGAACAATATTTGACATCTTCAAAACAGGCATTCTTACACCAGTCCATAAAAAGAAAAAAAGATCCAACATAAACAACCAACTGCAGAGGAATAACTGTCACCTCCGTTTCAGGGAATTGTTTTGAATACGCATTACTAGAATAAAATGCCTGACCTTAATGTAATTCAGATATAACTCCAATTTGGTTTTAAAAAGGGTCTCTCTCCAATCATGGCTGCTCTTCTAGTTTCTGAAGGCATACTACATGCAAAACAACGAAAGAAAAACTTATATCAAGCAACCCATGACAGCCAAAAAGCGTTTGATGTTGTACGCCATATGATATTACTAGAAAAATTATGTTATGAAGTACCAGAAGACGTCTCGAAAGTAATTCGAAATCTGTATTCTAATTTGTAAACAGAAATAAAATTGAATAATCACATCATTAAAAAAAATCCAATAAAACAAAGAGTTAGGCAAGAAGGTATCCTATCCACTCATTTCTACAAGTCACATATTAATGACTAGCCAATGGAACTAGAAAAAAAGAGCCCTAGGACTAACAATAGGATTAAAATTCTGTAGCAGTCCATAATGTGCAGATGATATTGTACTGATTTCAACTGACGAAACAGAGATTCAAGCAATGCTTGATATTGCATATAAATATTCTTGTGAACACAGGTGTAATATCCAAAAAAGCACTCTAAAAAAGACTGAAAGGATCAAGTCAAAAGGTCAATCGGAAAATATCAGACTAGGAAATGAAGCAATACAA